GACACGCATGGGCCCCCTGCCAAATACCGGCCCCAATGTACACGCCCGACACGCATGGGCCCCCTGCCAAATACCGGCCCCAGTGTACATGCCCAACACACACGGGCCCCCTGCTAAATACTGGCCCCAATGTACACACCTGAAACACACGGACCTCCTGCCAAATATTGGCCCCAATGTACACGCCCGACATGCATGGGCCCCCTGCCAAATACCGGCTCCAACGCACACACCCGACATGCGCGGTTGCCCCCAATGCCCTTGGCACACTCTGCACCCCTCCTACACACACCCTGAAACACACACGCACTCTGAGACACCCCCTGCCACCACAGGATGGGCCCAGATCTAACCTACACCGAGGATCAACAGTAAAGTGAAGGCACCTCGCAGGAGAACCCTATATCCAGACGGGTCCTGGACCTGAGCCAGCTGGCCTCGGAGCAAAGGGGTGCACAGGGATGAGTTTGTATCCCCGAGATGCTAAACCAGCATCCATGGGCTAGAGACTGAACTCTCCAAAGAGCTTTAAAAACATCCTAGATGTTCAAGATAGGAAAGGTCAATAAGGGCATGTGGCCTGCACCCCACAGGTTTTCTCCCGGTGGTGCACTTACATTTGTGACAATATACTAGCATTTCCACCTCGCGGGCAGCGTGGCCACTTGGAACTTGATGGGGTAGAATATAGACCCTCCTGTTTCCAAAGCACCCCCTTGCCACTGGGCTAAAGGAGAATCCCCATTAGCTGTCAGCAGCGTAGGGGTCTATGACACGCAGTTGAGTAGTTCTGGTTCCATGCAGGGAGGATAGAGACATGGATACACCCAACCCCCGCCCCCGACACACACACCCACACACACCAACTCATCACAACATTGTCTAGTCCAACTTTAAATTTCTCAAGCCATGTGGCTTCCAGCCCTGCCCTAGAGAGACCGAGAGGTTTCACGCACAGGAAGTTTTAAATTGTCCCTCCTCCCATCCTGTTCCTCCGATCCGCATCCCCTGGGCTCCCCTGAGCCATTCCCCAGCCAGCTGGGTGATTGCACCTCACAGAGACCTGCGTGCATCCCCCTGGCAGCCCTCTGCCATTGCTCATCCTGTCTTCCCTTTCACCTAGTCCCTTCGCTGCTTGGTTTCCCCTGATGCCTGCCCCTGATGCGGGCGCGCGCTCTCTCTCTCTCTCTTTCTCTCCAGCGGGCTCAGGGTGGGAGGTGTATGTGCCTCCTTTGAGCGGTTCTTTCTTGGGAAAGTTCCCATTCGACTGTCTCCTGCCTTGTGGTTTTGGCTCCCCCGTGCAGACCGTTTGAGGGCAGAGCGCTCACTACTCCGGGCTGCACCAGGAGCTTCCATGCTCCTTGGCTCAGGCGGCATTTGAGCTGCATGGTTGGAGCAAAGCGCTGCTAGCCCCCTCGCCCGCCTAGTGGGAATGGATTCCCCTCTGTGCCGCTTTCCCTTCCCGTTCTCCTCTGGCATGGCCTCTTTTCCGGGCTGTCAAAGGAGAGGGAAAGGCCCTAGGGGGGCTGGCCTGAGCCTGTTCCCTTCCCCCACTCCCACCTCAAAGTTCTGGGCCTTCCTGCTTTTCTATTCCTGGCCCCATGCCCCTCACTCCTGTCCCCCAGCACCTGCTCCCACTCCAGTCCCGGACCCACACACGCTGCTCTACCAATGCCTCTCAACCCTGCCCTGCAGCATGCCCTGGGTTCCCCACGCAGATCTGGCAATGCCCCCTGCCTTGCTCTGCCCTGCTCTTCCAGGCTGTTCTTCCAATGCCCCTCATCCTTGCTGTGCAGCACCCCCGCGATCCCAGGCATTGGTCTCTGTAACAGGCAGGCTGCCAGTCTTGTCGAATAATACCCTATTCAGCGTTGCCAGCTGTTGTGATTTCTTCACAAACCTTGCGATATTTGGGGGGGGGAGGTTAAAGCTCCAGCTCCTGGAGTCCTGTGATTACCTGAGAATCTCAGCTTTCATTTGTGGAAAAGGGGGGAGGAAGAGCTGGACGGACACACACACACACACACACACGCTCAAAACCCAGAAAGACAATAAAAAGAACTGAAACCTTCTTACTTTAAAAACATTTCCAGCTCACTAAGCCAATCTTATGGCTGTTTGAACTCTTGGGGCTGACAATACTGCTAGGGAATGGACTCTGGTTACTAGCCTCATTTCTCTTCTGACCTGCAGTCAGCTGAGGGCCCAGGTGTTCAGAGAAGCAAGACTAGCACACGGTAGTTCCACACTGCCCCGCTGAAGCATTTTCAGTTCATCTTCCACTGCTTGGCATTTCAATCCCCTAAGGATTCATGCAGCACGGATAGCATTTTTTGTAATAAGGGTCTGAAGAATGTATTGAGTTCTGAGCCCAGCCCCGCAGCCGTGAACAAATAAGCCAGACAGAAATGCCGCTTCACAGCAGATTCTCCATCACAGTCTCTGGCTTCCTCCGCTTCCCCCGCTCCTTGGCTCAGGCGGTAGTTTCTCCCCACATGTCTGCACAGTGCCTAGTTCAATGGGGCTCCCAGGTGCCGGTGTAATACCAGGAA